AACCAAGGGCGCCCTCGAGGGCGCGAGATTATTCGCGCTTCGCGGTTCGGCTCCGATCCCTCATCCTCCTCTTCTCCCCTGGGAGGCGGCGCTAGAGCGCGAAGTTATTCGCGCTTGGCGCGGCGCGAAGCGCGAAGTTGGGAGCCCTTGGAAATTGCAGGATCTTGCAGTATCTTGCAACGCCTGTCTGACCTGGACGGGGCGAGGTCGAGGATATTGATCCGCTTTCGAGCGCTCCCAGAGCACTTCAGAACTCTCTGAGAAGGCCGCGGCGCCCGAGACATCGTCCAGAGCCGCCGGATCTCAGAGATTCTCGATTCATCCAAGGGCCGACCACAACGCTGTTTAGCTCGGTTTGGGCGCTTGTTCTGTCTGTTATGTTTGTTCGTTGATGTTTCGTTTCGTTGTTCGTTGTTGCTTTCAACGCCCCGTTTCGTCGTTCGTTTTCGTTTGGCACTGGCTTCGATCTAATCGTTTTAAACGGTGTGCCTCGTTTCGTTTTTCGTTGTAAGCGCCATTTCGTTTTAAACGTCGTTGTGATCGGTCCCCGGAATTATCCTCACCCGATTTTATCATCGTCATGGCGTCGTCTTGCTGATCTGGTTTTGCATTGGCCCGGGTCAGTAGAAGCCCGATAGCCCGTCGGGCCGGCGAATTAATCGCTCCCTTATGGTAGTGCAGCGGTTGTCCAGAGACAGGGGGGCCTGCACGCGGCCCCCACGGCACCCCAGACCGAGGCAGGGTCTATGTTTCGATTCCCCCGACTCCATTCGAGTCGTTCTCGATCGATGCCAATGAGGATCTGGTTATGCCTGGGAGTCCGACTCGGATTTCGGTGCCTCAGTGGAGGCCTTATTTGCTTGCCGATTTCCGCCTGTTCGACTTCCGCTTTCCGCTGACCCGTTGAATTTCGATCGCCGATCCGATAAATCGATCCGCTTTCGGGTTTGGAGGATTCTCAAGCAGTAGCGAAGCGTCCTGGCATCTCTATAGGCCTACCAAACATGTTCTTGAAACCTTTCTTGGTTTTGCAGAACGGTGCGCGCGACGCGACGCTGGGCCTCGCCAGCTATCGGGGCAGGTCGGTGATTTTCGCTGCAGCGTGCTGCGACGCTGCGGTGCCAAGAGTATGTGAGCTAGCTGCGGGAGGACCGCGCTTGCGAGCAATGGCGCTATGGAGTTAACGTCGTGAAAGGGTGGCGAAGGGCCCAATCCCCCCACGTCGCCGCGACCCCAGCCCAGCGCTGGGCGCTCGAGACTTCCGCGAGACGTCGAAGCGAATCACGCGCTGGCCTTGCGACTGCGAATCGTCCTCAGTATGGGTTTTCGATCTTCGTCGCCCTTCGATGTCGGTCGCTTGTCGCTCATGTTGCCGACCGCGCGTTTCGCGCCGTGGCAGCTGCTAGCATTTGTGATCGTCCTTCGCCCTTGCCACTAGCCCCGAGAAGCCTCAACACAGGTTTCCTCTGAAGGTTTCCTTGAGGTGTATGAGGGCAATGGTCGACCCTGGCTTGCTAATGCGTTGCGTACTGGGGCCGACCTGGGACTCGCTGAAGCCCAAGAGGGTTCCCAAGGCTCCACTGAGGCATCTTGGAGATTGTTGCCAAGAATGCGAAGAAGTGGAGCTGCCTGAAACACATCGCCTGCTCCGAAATCCGATAGACTATATACGTACTCGAGTTCTCCTGGTGCCTTCCCCTTCTGCCCGGGTTCGTCCTCCTCCTCCTCCTCCTCCTCCTCCTCCTCTTCCTCCTCCCTCTCCTCCTCCTCCTTCTCCTCCTCCTCCTCCTCCTCCTCCTCCTCCTTCTCCTCCTCCTCCTCCTCCTCCTCCTCCTCCTTCTCCTCTTCCTCCGCCTCCTCCTCCTCCCTCTTCCTCCTCCTCTTCGGTCTCCTCCTCGTTCCTCGTTCCTTCTCCCAGTTTCCTCCGGCACACTCGCGAAAGCACACGTGGTCCACCCGCGGAGCGCCTGCTTTCTGCGCCTCCCTCGTCAGGACGGCTCGACACTCGAAGCTCTGCAGGGGCTCTCTGCGGTACGTCACCACCCACCAAACCACCCCAACCCAACCCGAAGGCCAAAATTTAACCTCGATTTCCAGTGCGGGGGGGTCGGGGAACATTGAAAAAACACATGGAACCCGTACCCCCCCCAACCCGAAATTCGGGTCAAATTCGGGTCTTCGGGTTGGGTTGGGGTGGTCTGGTAGGTAGTCAGTGCGGAATCGCCAAACGTATTCTTGGTTCGCTGGCGTCCCACTGGTGAGGCCCGTAATGTCTTGTTTTTTTGTTGTCGAGGGTGGGCTCAACAACAGCAAGATAGTATGTACGAGAGGAACACGGGCGGCTCGTCCAGGGCAGGGGGAAGGAACGCCCCCCCCCCGATTACAGCGCTTTCCCCCGCCCGAGCAGTATGGGAGCAATTTGGAAGAGAACGGACAGGACGGAGAAACAGAAGGACCAGAAGGATGATTGCGGCACAGGACACAGAGTGTGCGAGAGGGAGCTATCGGAGGCAGAACCAAAACAGCGGATCAGAGTGTCGACGTTTCTTCCGAGTCGCGCGAGGGATGGTCGCGATAAGGGCGTCTTCGAACGCGCGCGTTGCGGGGCGCGCGGCGTGGAGCCTTGCGATCAAGAGGAAACGTGTTAGTATGCTATTCGCATGCGTGCTGTTTGTCTTCTTGTTGTTTGCGCCCCCGCATGCGCTAGCTCCATACATAGAATTTGCAGATAACGCCGCCAAATTCCAGAGCAAAGGGTGGCGTCATTAATTTCAGATTGTCGAAACGCGATCTTGTCGAGGAATGGAAGACGATGTGTGCGCTGTGGACGTTTGGAACACATGCGGCCGGATTTCATTCCGCTTTCTTGCCAGTGCAGCCCCGTCACTTTAGCGAGGCCTCCTCACATAGTTTCCTTCCGTGCGCCCTGCCGAAGCATCATTTTTACACCGAAAGGGCCCATGAGGCCCATGGACAAGAACGGCACGACCACCAGAACTTCAGCAGATCTTGAATTGCAGGCTTGGTTTTTTGGTGAATGAGGCGAGCGACGGGCCTGACACTTGTTCGGACGCAGCGCGCGCGCCTGGAAATGCTGGCTATGCGATGTGCGTGAATGGGACGTGCCGCTACCAACTTTGGTACCATTTCGGCTCGCTTTGCTAGTCGTTCTCGCTTGTCCGGGTCGCACCGTTTGCGATTTTCACATCGATCGCGATTGAGACCCTAGTGGTTTGAGATTTGTTGAACCGACTCGGTTCTGTAATCGTTTCTGCTTTGGGAAAATTATCATTCTGGCTGGCTGTTCCACACACGATTGTATCTTCGTCGTGGTTCCACGTGACAGTCGGCCCGGATCAGCAGGTCGACCCTGCCAGAGCGAGGGCACTTCTGTGTCCTGTGTCTCGCGGCCAGGTGCCTCCTGCATTCCTATCGCAATGTGGCCCTCGGAAGGGTCTTTTGTCCTCTCGCGTGTCCTGTCCAGTCAAGTCCGACTGTATTGGGCCGTCGCAGGCCGAAGTCGACCTCGGGCGGCGGCGGCGGCGGGCGGCGGCCGCCCCGAGGTTGCTCGGCCGGCAGGCCGCGGTGCAGGCCGTGGGCAGCGCGACCGCCATGCTGGTCGTGGCGCCTGGGCCGCCTCGGGCGGGGCCCCGGGGTTCCTCTAGCTGGGTAGTCGAAGGCCAGACTGGCAGATTGGGTTGGGCCCCAAGGGTCAATCTGGCCTGGCCGAATTGGAGGATTTGGGTTATTCGCCAGACTGGATTCGCGTTGGCTTCGACTGCCCAGTCTAGGTTGACCCAGGCCTCCCAGATGGGATCCGCAGGTGGGGTCGGAGGATCGCGCCGCATCGCCGATGCATCGACGATGCGGCTCGATGTGGTGCCGGTGTTTCCCCACGCCGACGTCGCCGATGCATCGCCGATGCATCGGCGATGCATTGGCGATGCGGCGCGATTCTTCGACCCCATCTACTCGGACCCCATCTAGGCCTAATTGAGCCTATTTTCGGGTAGGTCTGGGCCTCTCTCGTGAAGTCGGGCGCGTCCCTCGACGTGAGAAATCTTCCAACATGGTCAAAAAATATGTAGCACCCCGCAATTGCGGATAAGAGTGAGGGGGCGGGCGCGGGCGACGCGGGCGTTGTCGAGCCGGCGGACCTCGTGGCCCCCACCTTCCTTGTCGATGGCGTTCCCCTCCTCCTCCTCCTCCTCCTCCTCCTCTTCCTCCTCCTCCTCTTCCTCGTTCTCGTCCTCGTCCTCATCGTCATCGTCATCCTCCTCCCCCACCTCGTCCTCCTCCTCTTCTTCCTCGTCCTCCCTCTCCACCCCCCGTCCTTTCATCATCGTCCTCTCATTGTCGTCCTCCAACTCATCGGCCTCCATCATCGTCCTCCCATTGTCGTCCATCATCATCATCATCATCATCATTATCATCATCATCATCATCATCATCATCATCATCATCATCATCATCATCATCATTACCATCATTACCATCATCATCATCATCATAATCCCCCTCCTCGTCCTCCTCCTCCCCCTCCTCCCCCTCCTCGTCCTCCTGCTCCTCCTCCTTTTATGTTCCCACAGTCTCATTACATCCTCTCTTTTTCCGCGTTCTCCTCGTCCCCTGTTTACTCCCCATGCCTCCCCCTCTTTTCCCAAGAGAACTGCAACGCAATATTTTGTTCCACTTTATGCTCCCCGCCTTCTCTGATCAAGGCAATTCGTTAGTGCAAAGTTGCTGGGCGGGCTGGTGTGGATGCGCGGGGCTTGAAGAAGTCCTTGCGGGCTCAGACGGCATGCGAAAATCCGCCGCCGCGCTTGTGCGGCATTGGTTTGTTCAGTGAACGTGGTTTAGGTCGCGGGTGGGTCGCGGGCTCTCCACCTCCACCTGGGAGGAATGCACAAGCAGCCCGCCGCAAGCGCCAAAAACATTGGTTTGTACACTGAACGTGGTTTGGGTCGCGGGTGGGCCGCGGGTTCTCCACCGGGAACGAATGCAAAAGATGCCCGCCGCAGGCGCCGAAAAATGGGGTTCGTACCCTGGGTGTGGTCGCGGGTGGGCCGCGGGCTCTCCACCTGAAGCGAATGCAGACGATGCCCGCCGCAGGCGCCGAAAAATGGGGTTTGTACCCTGAACGCGGTTTGGGTCGCGGGTTGGTCGCGAGTTGGTCACGGGGTGGGTCGCGGGCTCTCCACCTGGAAGGAATGCCAAAAAAACCCGCCGCAGGCGCCGAAAATGGTGGTTTGTACCTTGAACGTGGTTTGGGTCGAAGGTGGGTCGCGGGTGGGTCGCGGGGTGGTCGCGGGTGGGTCGCGGGTGGGTCGCGGGTGGGTCGCGGGTGGGTCGCGGGGCCGCGGGTCGCGGGTGGGTCGCGGGGTGGGTCGCGGGGTGGGTCGCGGGGTGGGTCGCGGGGTGGGTCGCGGGGTGGGTCGCGGGTGGGTCGCGGGTGGGTCGCGGGTGGGTCGCGGGGTGGGTCGCGGGGTGGGTCGCGGTCGCGGGGCGGGTTGCGGGTGGAACGACGACAACAAACAACAACAAAACAACAACAACAAACAACAACAACAACAACAACAACAACAACAACAACAACAACAATCATTTTACCCGAACGCGTGGTGTTCTCCCCAGTGCCAGGGTTTTCATACGACACCAGGCAATACCCCCACTTCGTGGGGGGGCATTACAAGCTCTACCAAATATCCAAACGACTCTTCGCGACCACCCAAACCCAGCTTCCCGCCCTATGACGTTGGGACACTTCACTTCGTGGCGTGCGGACGACCGTGGCTACTACACTGGCGTGGGGTACACACCCACAGAACTTGGTCACTTATTCGGGGTCACTTATTGGTCCTCTTGGGGAAGGGGGGAAGCCTCCTGGCGCCGCTTGGGGTCCGCGCAAGTAGCTCGCGCGAGCTCATGTACCTATGGCGCAACCGCAAGGGATTCTGGCCCCTGGCAGGCGCGCGAACCCCGTTGCAAGAGCGTGCGAAAGTAGCTCGCGCGAGCTCATGTAACATAAATGTTGGAAAACCATTGGTTTTTTTAGGATTCGGACAGCGCGCGCGGGTGGAAATTTTGAAAAGTCGTGCAGGTGTTTTTCGAGGACCTACGGTGCGATTCGTGTGATTTTATGATGCGCGGTGCTAAAATTCTTAAAAACCCAATGGTTTTTGGAGATTTCGGCGTGCGCGCGCGAAGAAAAAACGAATGTGTCCCGCATGGTATTATTTGACAGGGATGATGGCCCTGGCAGGTGCGCAACCGTTGTCGCAGAAGTTCGAAAAAGTTGCTCGCAAAAGCCCGTTTGACAGAAATGTTTAAAAAGTGTTGGGTTTCCTACGAATCCGCAAGAGCGCGCGGGATGAGATTTTGACATTTTTTTGTTGAAAAACCATTGGTTTTTTGATGTTTTTATGTTAAAATCGCTCCGAACACTAAGCTTTTGGAAGGATTTCGTCTTGCGCGCGCGAATGTCCACTTTACCTTATTTTTTGCAAGGGATTCTTGAAATTTGATTATATTAGAACAAGAAATGTCATTTTATAGTGTTTTTTGCAAGGGAAAGCGGGGGGGAACAAAACAACCGGATCTTGATCACATCGAATTACCTGAGGTTTCCTCACGAAAGTGATGAAAATGCAGCTGCGGCCTAGGCGGCGCAGGGGGGCCGTGCACCAGGGGTCCCAACAATAATTATTCTTTAGAATTAATAATGTTCAACAACAAACAACAACAACGAAACTCCGCACCGCGGAATTCCACTTCAGCCACGCACCCAGGGACAGTGAATGACCGCTCGGCCCCCTCACTCTGACTTTGGGCCGGTTTTTGGGCACTTTTCATTGTTATTTCTGAACATGGTTTGTTTATTTGTTGTTACGTTTCTTCCTGTAGGATGACATGCCCGAAACATCGAGGCCTTTTCTCGGGGTCCCGGAAAAAGGGGGCTGCCCCCAGGGTGCGTGTGAGTTCGATCGGTCGTTGCACCGAACCTGGAAGGCAAAACCTCCTGGCTTCCAGACGACGAACCCGTGGTGCCGATACCAGATACCGCTCCCACGTCCTAGCCGGAAGCGTCCATGAACACGTGGGGTGCCGTGACGTCCATAGACACTTTCGGGGTGGATACGTCTATGGACAACGTTGCCGTTGTGTTCGGCGCGGTGCAAGGTCGGAGAAAGGGTAGACCCGTCTACGGTATGTTCTTGTTACAGAGGAGGTCTTGCATTGTACTCCATCTCCAGATCGCCCCGAACAGATGTTCCCCAGCCGCCGCAGGCTCCCGACAGTTGCCGATAGGTGGGGCAAGCGGTGCGCATTTGTTTGCGGCAATTCGGCACACCAGCGGATCGATTTCATGCCTTCACTTAGGTTTACCCCTCTTTGGTGGATCCCGAATCTAGGTTTGTCAGATGGGGTCGGAGTAGCTGGGGTCGGAGCATCGCGCCGCACCGCGGGTGCATTGCCGAGGCGCCTCGATGTGGAGCCAGATTTTCTCGACGCCGACGTCGCAGATGCATCGTCGATGCATTGCCGAGATCGGCGATGCATAGGCCTAACGGATGGGGTCGGAGTAGATGGGGTCGGGGAATCTCGGCGCATTGTCGATGCATGGGCGATGCGGCTCGATATGGAGCCCGATTCTCTCTACGCCCACGGCGCCGACGCATCGCCGACGTCGCCGATGCATCGCCGATGCATCGGCGATGCATTGGTGATGCATTGGCGATGCGGCGCGATATTCCGACCCCATCTACTGGGACTCCATCTTCTAGTATAGTCAGGGCCCAAGAGTCTCCACGGGGCCACGAAGCTTTGTACTGGGTGGGGTTGACGCGCGAGGGCGTTGCCACTGGGGCCCTCGGTGGAGCTCCCTATGGGGCCACGAAGCGTTGTGCTGGGTGTGGAAAGCTCATACTGACGAGGGCAGAGTCAAGGAGGGGGAGGAAACAGTGAGTGACGCGGGGCGCTGTCTTTTCTAAACGAAGACACATCACCTCAGGATGGTTGGGGAACGCTTCGCCTCCTTCTCGTGTTCCTCCCTCCTTCCTCCTCCTCCTCCTTTCTCCCTTTTCCCTTCTCCCTCCTCCTCCTCCTCCTCGTCTTTTCTCCCTCCTCCTCCTCCTCCACTTTCTCCTCCTCCTCCTCCACTTTCTTCTTCTTCTCCTCCTCCTCCTCCTCCACCTCCTCCTCTCATGTTCCAGGATCCCGCGGAAGGCGCACCTGCCAGCAGGGCCCAGGGCCCGCCCCCCGGCCCGGCACGCCAGGTGGACGGTCTGCCCCTGTCGCCGTCGCCGTCGGTCGCCGTCGTCGTCGCCGTCGCCGTCGCCGTCGCCACCGCCGCCGCCGCCGTCGCCGTCGCCGTCGTCGTCGCCGTCGCCGTCGCCGTCGTCGTCGCCGTCGCCGTCGCCGTCGCCGTCGTCGTCGTCGTCGTCGTCGTCGTCGTCGGGATCGAGGCCACGAGGGCAACGTGACGGGGCTCAAGGGACGGGGGTCCATGCAAACGGGGGTCAGCCAGAGCTGCCAGATCTTGCAGGATCCTGCAGCGCTCGGCTTGCACTGACCCGTGCTTAGGTGCAGGGTCTTGCAGAATCCTGCAGGAGCTGACCTAGACCGCCCGACAGACTCGCCCACGACGACGACGTGCCCCGCCCGCCCGACCGACCGACTCGCGGGCGAACGACGACGACGACGGTGGCAGTGGTGACGACGCCTGGCGCGAGGAACGACGACGACGACGACGAGGATGACGAAGACGACGACGGGTGTGCTTGTATCGGGCCGGACGAAAGGGGGGGATTGGGAAAGGGAGGGTTGCGAAATTCTAGACGCTTCGCGTATCCCCACCAGCCCGTCCAGAAACGACGCCCAGGCGAGTAGAGGGTCGTCCTGAGGGGCTTTTCGGCGTCTTGGGTGCCTCGGGGGGGCCTCTGTGGGCCGTTCGGGATCCTCTTTGGGGCCTCCTGGGGGCCTCTTGGGGCCTCTTGGGGCCATCTTGGGGCCTCTGGGAGCACCTTGGGTGCCTCTGGGGGGTCTCTTGGGGCCTCTTGGGGGTCTCTTGGGGGCCTCCTGGGGGCCTCTTGGGGGGCCTCTTGGGGCCATCTTGGGGCCATCCTGCGGCCTCTTGGGGCATCCTGGGGGCCTCTTGCGGCCATCGTGGAGGAAATCGATCAAAGAAGAGGGGAGCGTTAATTAGCGTTGCCCCCTCAGAAGGCCAAAATGGGGCCCAAACCACAGTCAAATCAATGATTTTGACTTCCTCGCCGTGACCGCTCCCCGCCCCTCCTGTCCAGGTCAGTGGGGAGGGGGTAGGGGGAGGGGTAAACCCCTCCCCGAAGGGAAGAGGGAGGGGTGGAAGAGGAAGCCCCCTAAACCACCGACGCCCAGAGGGCTGGTGGGATTTGCTGCATGCAGCTGGTTTCGGCCTCACCGAGTGGCCCATTCCTCGATACATATCTGCCTCTGGCGCCGGGAGGCGCCGGCAAAATCAGCTACGTGAGCTGATTCTCAACCCCCCCCTTTGCTATCCCCCCCTTTCGCCCGACCCGATTGTACCCGGGCAGAAGATCCCCGAGGGTGGGCGGTCGGACTCAGCCTCCGCCCGCGCGAGGTGCTCCCCCTGATGGCCGTCCTGGCGCTGTGCGGCTGCTGCCTCCTGCGGTCGCGGGAAGGCCCAGGTGGCACTTCTGCCCGCCTCGCACGGGGAGGGAACCCAGATCACTGCCCTCTCGCGTCGCGCTGCAGGGAACAAGGATTTCTTGGCGTCGCTCGGACGTGCGCATTCCTCCTCCTTCTCCTCCTCCTCATCATCCTCCCCTTTCCCTCACCACTCCAACCCCGTAATTCCTCCTCCTTCTTCTCCTATTCGGCGAGGGCCATCGAGAAAGATCTGGAGCACCGAGCCGAACAAAAACACACACGCAGCGCCGAGCAATGGCACGGGGAATGGACGTTCGAGCGATGGCAGGAATTGCACACACAGAACTTATCAGACTTCTCGGATCGGCGCTGGAGCCCCCTGGCGGCGCCGATGCGGAGCCCGCTCTTCGCTGTGCCGACGGCGCCGATGCTTCGCCGATACGTCGCCGATGGATGGCCGATGCATCGCCGATGTATCGGCGATGCAGTGGCGATCCGGATCCTCCGACCCCATCTACTCATACCCCATCTAGGAGGCCTCCAAAGACGGCTCGGAGGTTGATAGACCTCCTACCCTGACACGTGAGGGAGGCTGGTCCACCGCCGACTCAAACCCCATCTGCTCAGACTGCATCGGCGATGCAGTGGCGATCCGGATCCTCCGACCCCATCGACTCAGACCCCCATCTACTCGGCATCGTTCGGACGTGTGCATCTTTCCTTCGGCGAGGACCATCGAGGAGCATCCTTGATCATTTGTCGAAAAAGCCACGCACAAAACCAACAAAGCACACGGAAAGGACGTCCGAGCGATGGCGAGTCTAGGCGGCCTCTGAAGACGGCGCGCGCGTACCCTCTCGCGAGGCTCCGCGCAGATGTCTCGGATCGGCGCTGGAGCTCCCCCCTGGCGGCGCCGATGCGGCGCCGCCCCGTGCCCGCTCCGCGCGCCGGGGAGGGGACCCAGCGTTAGGTCGGGCCTGTCCCCCTACAGGGGGATTGTCGACGAAAAAGAACAAATACCCCCAAAATACCCCAAAAGGGTCAAACAAGATTCAGAATTATCCTGGCAAAGCAACCTAACAGCGAGGTGTAGAAGCATATCTGGAAGCATTCACCTTGAGGTTTAGGTGAGAATCCAGTTGTAGAATTCTGCTGTTCTCGCAGTCGCCTCGGCCTCAGCCTGCCTCGGCTTGCCTCGGCCTCAGCCTCAGCCTGCCTCGGCCTCAGCCTCAGCCTCAGCCTGCCTCAGCCTCAGCCTCAGCCTGCCTCAGCCTCAGCCTGCATCAGCCTCAGCCTCAGCCTGCCTCAGCCGCAGCTTGCCTCAGCCTCAGCCACAGCCTCAGCCTCAGCCTCAGCCTGCCTCAGCTTCAGCCTCAGCCTCAGCCTGCCTCGCGCCTCAGCCTCAGCCTCAGCCTGCCTCGGCCTCAGCCTCAGCCTCAGCCTGCCTCAACCTCAGCGTCAGCTTCTCAGCCTCAGCCTGCATCAGCCTCAGCCTCAGCCTGCCTCAGCCTCAGCCTCAGCCTCAGCCGCAACCTGCCTCAGCCTCAGCCTCAGCCTCAGCCTGCCTCAGCTTCAGCCTCAGCCTCAGCCTGCCTGGGCTTGCCTCGGCCTCAGCCTCAGCCTGCCTCGGCCTCAGCCTCAGCCTCAGCCTGCCTCAGCCTCAGCCTCAGCCTGCCTCAGCCTCAGCCTGCATCAGCCTCAGCCTCAGCCTGCCTCAGCCGCAGCTTGCCTCAGCCTCAGCCACAGCCTCAGCCTCAGCCTCAGCCTCAGCCTGCCTCAGCCTCAGCCTCAGCCTGCCTCAGCCAGCCTGCCTCAGCCTCAGCCTCAGCCTGCCTCAGCCTCAGCCTCAGCCTCCCTTCAGCCTCGGCCTCAGCCTCAGCCTGCCTCAGCCTCAGCCTGCATCAGCCTCAGCCTCAGCCTCAGCCTGCCTCAGCATCAGCCTGCAGCCTCAGCCTCAGCCTGCCTCAGCCTCAGCCTCAGCCTGCCAGCCTCAGCCTCAGCTGCTCAGCCTCGGCCTCAGCCTCAGCCTGCCTCATCAGCCTCAGCCTCAGCCTCAGCCTGCCTCAGCATCAGCCTGCCTCAGCCTCAGCCTCAGCCTGCCTCAGCCTCAGCCTGCCTCAGCCTCACAGTTGGCCTCCGGGCAATTAAAATGTAGCCTGGGAATAGTGTTCTGGGAACACGCAGAACACGAAGTGGCCTACAGTTGGCTCCAAATGTGTCCCCGGGAATGGCGTTCTGGGAACACGAAGAACACGAAGTGGCCTACAGTTGGCTCCGGGCATTCAAATTGTGGCCCGGGAATGGTGTTCTGGGAACACGAAGAACACGAAGTGGCCTACAGTTGGCTCCGGGCATTCAAAATGTGGCCCGGGAATGGAGTTCTGGGAACACGAAGAACACGAAGTGGCCTACAGTTGGCTCCGGGCATTCAAAATGTGGCCCGGGAATGGAGTTCTGGGAACACGAGAACACGAAGTGGCCTACAGTTGGCTCCGGGCATTCAAAAGCATGCCCAGGAATGGAGCTCTGGGAACTCGAAGACCACGAAGTGCGTTACTGTTTGCTTAAAACGAGTTCCCCGGCATCCCCCCGGCATCCTCCCCCGGATCGCGCCCAGACCCCCCTGGGGCGTCATGATGCTTTCTTTTGACCCTACTAGAAACCTATCAGTCTTCGCTGTTAGGTAAAGTAGTCCCCAGACGATTTTAGGATTTGTTTTCGATTATTTGTGGGGTATTCTTAATTTTTCGCCGAAAATCCCCCTGTAGGGGGACAGGCCCGACTTAAACCTAGCGTTGTGTTGGTCCCATCGTGCTTAAGGACCGCATCCCAGGAACAGTTTCCAGCACCCGGAAAAGTGTCGAAAGAGTGTCGAAAGAGTGTTGAGACAGTGTCGGACGAGCGTCTCCCAGGGCCCCGCAGGTGAAATCCCTCGAGTTTCGGTTTTTTCTTGGTGCCCGAAGCTCTCTCTGGTGGGGCTTGAGCAGGTTGGAACATCATACACCTGGCGCCGATCCCAGAAATCAGCACGGACCCCCCGAAAGTTTTGATGTTCGTGCCATGGTTTGCCCCCTCGATGTTCGCAACGGTCGGCCTCTCCGGGCCCTCACCGGGCCCTGGTGCTGTCAAGACGACTCGGGTGGAACAGCCCGTCCCGTTGGCAGATGTCCAGATTTTTTGTAAACGTCACGACGTCGAGGTGTCTGGGACGAGAGGCCGAGGCTCACCGAGCGCATTCCACTACTCGCAAAGTTCCCACTCGCAAACGTCCGAAAAACACAAGTTCGTGTCGATGTCATGGATCGGACATCCACCACGGCGGATCCAGGGCATTTGCGAGTAGGTACTTCTTGCGAGTAGTGGAGCGCGCTTGTCTAGAGGCTGGAGTATCGAGCTCTATCGTGCGTCGCATCCTCGGCCCCTGTTTGTTGAGGGGCCTCCTTGTCGCCGCCGCACGGCGTTCCCCCGCTTTGAGATTCTGGTCAAGACGCGCTCCTGGAGAGGTCCCTTGTTTTGGATGCAACTCCTGGGCGGCCAGCTTCTGACTCTGCCCTGGTCCGAAATCCGGCTTAATCCCGCTAGATTCCGCTCAGTTCACTCCCGCGGAATCCCGTTGAAACCGCGGCCTGGTCCAGTGCAGCAGCCCCCCAATGGGGGCGTAACTCTTGCCAGTCCTTCGACGGAAACCTCCCAGTGTAGTTGCCTTCTCACCTTCTCCCTCCTGTATGCAGGGGCGCCCCCCGCCGGTCAGGTGCCGCAGTCGCCCAGCATAGCTCACGCCTGAGGAGGAGGGTTTTTTTGACGTCAGCGGCATCGCCTCCAGATCCTGACAGAGCAGGACAGACAACCTGCAGCGGAGAGATGCAGGCTGCACCGACTGGCACAATCAGACGGTAAACACTGCCTCTGCACGCTCTTGCTTGACAGAGCCAACAGGACAGCATAACAGAAGACGGAGCGGCGCCAACGGCCCAGGGCCGTGTGGCGCGAAGGGTGCGCGACACAGGGCACGCAAGGAGACCGTGCTCCGCGCGCCCTGTTCGGGGTAGGGGACGCCGGAGCGGTGCTCCGACGCCCAACCTATCCGTTCCATAGGTGGCCGCTGGCGACCAGAGCAATTTTCTCCCCCCTTGGCCCCAGACGGGCAAACAAGGGTGACGATCAGGCTGCTACTACCCGCGTGTTTTCCTGGGACGCGGTCCCACTGGCACAGGTGCCCCTGAGGGGGAGGAGGAGAAGGAGAGGGAGGAGGAGGAGGACGAGGGAGGAGCGAGGAGAGAGGAGGGAGGAGGGAGGCGGGAGGGAGGAGGGAGGGAGGGAGGGAGGGAGGGAGGGGGAGGAGGAGGAGGAGGAGGAGGAGGAGGAGGAGGAGGAGGAGGAGGAGGAGGAGGAGGAGGAGGAGCACGAGGAGGAGGGCAGCTCCCACCCCCCCCCCCGCCCCCGTCGGCACCCCGGCAGGCCACGCGGGCCGGGGCGCGTGGGACCCGGCGGGGGGGAAGCTGCTGGACCAGGCGTCGGCGAAGGGCCGGCCAGGCCCGGCTTCTCCCCTCGGTGCCTCCTAGGCGTACATCGGTGCCTCCTAGGCGTTCTTGCTGCCTCAGCCACGCGCAGAGGGGGGTAGGGGGAGGGGGAAAGGCTTCTCGCAATCACTCCTGCTTCTTTGAAGGCGTGGGCCTTGCCTGCAGATGTAAGGCCCGCGCCTTCCAAGAGGCAGCCTCCTTCTAAGAAGCCTTCCCCCCGCCCCCTGCCCCCTTGTGCGCGCCGCTACCTGCCACCCGCCCAGTTTCACTGCGATCTCACCCCCTCCGCTCCAAGCCACGCTCCCCGGCGGCCAGGATACCCCGGCCCTCGACCACCTCGGGACACGGGGTTCGCTCCCTCGCGGACGCCCCTGCGCGCGGATCCCGTCCCTGCGACCGCGTGGCCGCGGCATCGCGCCCGCCCTGGAGCCCAGACCGCGAGGGCGCGGCTCTGGGCCTCTCCGCCGCATCGCCGATGCATCGCCGATGTGGCTCGATGTGCAGTCGGATTTGCTTCACGTCGACGTCGCCGATGCACCGACGTCGCCGATGCATCGCCGATGCATCGCTGATGCATCGCCGACACGTCGGCGATGCATCGGCGATGCGGTTCGATCCTCCGACCCCATCCCCCCCTGCGCCCCGCCGCTTCTCGCCCCCTGCGTCGCCGCCCCCCCTTCGTTCTCTCCTCCTCGCTTTCTTCCTCCTCTGTCCTCGCCCTCCTCTTCCTTTCCCGCCTCTTCTTCATCCTCTCGCCCCGCCTCTCCGTCCTTCTCCTCTTCCGTCCGCCCCCTGCCGCTGCGCCCGACGCCGCTCGCACTGGCCTGTTCCCTGCGCCCGGGGCTGCTCCCAGCGCCCGAGGACGCCCCCTGCGCCCGAGGACGCCCCCTGCGCCCGAGAGGCGCTGCTCCGTGCGCCCCGGGGCGCGAGGGCGGCCCGGGGCGCACGGAGCAGCGCCTCGGGCTTCTTCCTCGGGCGCACGGCGAGGAAGCGCCCCGCGCGGCGCGTTCGCCGCGCGGGCTCGCGCGGGTGACGGGGGGCGCCGCGCGGTGCTTCCGCCGCCCGCAGGCCGCGGCCCGCGCGGCTGCGCGCGGCCGCGGCAGCCGTCGCGGTCCGTCGACCGAGCGGCCGCGGCCCACGCCGGCCGAGGCCGCGCGGCGGCGGCGGCGGCGGCGCGGCGGCTGCGGCGGCAGCGACGGCGGCGGCGGCGGCGGCGGCGCGGCGGTGGCGGCGGCGGGCAGCGGCGGCGGCGGCGGCGGAGGCGGCCGCGGCCGCGGTGCGTTCGGCCGCCAGCATAGGCCGCGGCTCTGGCCGCGCAGCCTCGGAAAGGGCCGCGGCGCGCGCGCGCGCGCGGGCGGCCCGGCTGCGGCGCCAGATGTGCCCCGCGGAGGGCCGCGCGCGGGCTGCCGCCCCTGGGCGTGGCGCCGGGCGCCTGCCGTGCGCAGTGGCTCTCGCGGCCTACACGTCGTGGGGGTCCGCGCGACTGGCTACCCTGACCTTCCAGGAGGGCTGAAAAATAGCATCAGGACGTCGACATCCAAATTCCTGTCGAGGTTTGAGGCAGTCCAGATAGATCTATAGGTCTGGAATGCTATTTTTAGCACTCTGGAAGGTCGGGGTAAGGGGGGGCCAGTCGACCCCTTCTGGCCGGCCCCGGCTCGAGAGCCGCGCGGGATGCCGATCCGCCTTCTTTCTCCGCCCTCCGCCGCCCCAGGTCTGGGAGTTACTGCGCGGCCGGCGGGGCGTCGCGACGCGGCGCCCGCCGACCCGGGGATTGGGCCGACCAGGGCCAGGCCCCGGACAGCGGTTCGAGCGGCCGTGCGGGCTCAATCGGTCCGGTCGCAGCCCCGAAGCCAGGCGCACCAAAACGGCTAGCGGCCCAACGCCCGGCACCGGAGACCAAAGATTGGGGCCCTGCAGCGCGCGGGCACCACGTGGTCCGCTGCCCGAACTCGTGGTCCGCATCATCTTACAGTGAGCGGCTTGAACAAGGAACACATCCTTTTCAAAAGGGGCTCGGTCGTTCCTTAGGTTTGCATGCGTTATTTACAGTTCCTTATGCGTTATGTGTTCTTTATCGTCCCTTATGCGTTATTCCTTGGGATAAAAAGAAGCTTCGTTCCTCATTTATCGTTCCTTAGGTCAGGCCGATGACTGTACTCCAGGTGCCCGAAGCGTCTGTAGCCCAAGAGCACCCGCAAACTCCTATAGGCCCCCCCCTCAAGGCGTCGACGAGCCTCTTCCGCGGGGCACACGCGTACGCGGCGCAAAAGGCGAGGCGTCGCAGCGGCCCACGGCGGCCGGGTCGGAGACTTTGGGCCTCCCGCCTGCTGCTGCCGGCGAAGGTGGGAGGGCACCAGCTACACACCTGCACCGATCTTGGCCAGGCCAATCCTGGGCCCAGGGTCGGTGTGTATGCCTTCCTGCCCCAGGCAGGAGTGCGTATACACCGATCCTGGGCCCGGGGTGATCCTGGCCAGGATCGGTGTTGGTGTATAACTGGTGCCCTCCTAGAAGGCGCCAGGGGCGCCGAAGGATTCACTCAGAGCGTGAAATTTACCTACCCCGCTGTCGCTTACAGGCGAAGCCAAGGCATACCACGCGCCTCCTCGCCGAGCGGCCCGACCAGCGCAGGCCGTCGTTCGGCATCGTGTGGTATCTCTTGGAAGCGAGGGTGGTCAAAAGCGAGGTAGGTTTGTTTTCCCCCTTAGATTCATCCCATCTCTTGCCTCTCGAGGCGGTCTTGGCGCCCCTCTTGAGGGGCATTCTGAAGGGGACGGCGGGGCGGAGCGGAGGACAGCCGACCGCGCCCACTGCCGAGGCCGCGCGGGTCGGCGGTGGCCTGCCCCAGGGCACTCGGCGGGTGGCCGGCGGCCGCCGCGTGGCTCTTGCGGCGCGGTGCTGCTGCGGGCAGCGCGGGCCGCCCCGTGGGCAGAAGGGCGCGCGCGTCCGCACCGCCACGGGCCAGGGCGGATCGAGGGGAGGATTCCGAGGGCCATGACATAATTCAGGAGGGAAGAAAGCACACAGACAGAATTCATTGTCGATTCCCCCGAAAATATTGGAAAGTATTGGAAGTGGGGGGGAAGACAAAAACCCAGAAAATATTGGAAAATATGGGGGATCCTTTTATTTGTGTGTATTTATTTGCGTGTCCTAGGGCCCCTTCAATAATGTCGCAGGACCTTGTCGACCCCGATCTTGCTCATGGTCCATGCTGGCCGCTGCCGATTCGCGAGCATGGTCCCCGCATCGGAGATGAGCAAAGTTTGCGATGGCCAGGAACGACTCCAACGCTTCTGCGTCCAGCATGGGTCATGTCCCTCGGTTTCTGCCTTTCCTTCCAGCGGAAGGCGCGCTGGCCGCTGGCACGGTCGTCGGTGAACGCGACGGGTTCTCTCGCGCCCGCTGGCGCCAACCGTGGATGCCGTCGAAGCGCGCGAAATCCGCTTTCGAATCCCCTCGGTAACGCCGTGCGGAAGAGGGCGTGAGGGCAGATCCAGAGCAGCGGGGGGGGGACGATATTGCTTAGTTGGGCCGGTATTCCCCCAGGGAGATTCTCGTCAGCGTCATTATCGACGGCAGCGTGTGGAAAATTGCCATGTGGCCAATGCCTTGTTGGCTCGTGCCGATACTGGCACAGCTTCCGCCTCGGAGGTGCCATCATCCGTCCTCCCTCCCCTTCCCTGCCCCCCCCTCCACCCCTCCCCCGCCGGCGACGGCGACGGCGACGACGACCGCCGCCACGACGCTGACGATGCCTGCGGCGGCGCGGCCGACGGCGGCGCATCCGAGGTGGGAATTTGTACATGACCACTGCCTGGAGGGTCAGTTTTCGGAGCCTCGGCAGGCGGTGGACATGGACATATTTTCGGGCCCCCGGGGGCCGAACTGTCTCCATGTCCACCGCCCGCTGGGGCACCAGGACGTCGGTTTTCCCAGGCGGTGGATCTGGATAAATTCGGGCCCGAAAGGGAGGGATTGGGAAAGGGGGGGTTACGACATTTGCTGCATGCAGCTGGTTTCGGCCTCACCGAGGGGCCCATCCCTCGATGATACATAGCTCCCTCCGGCGCCGGGAGGCGCCGGGAGAATCAGCTGCGCGAGCTGATTCTCAAACCCCCCCTTTGCTATCCCCCCCTTTCGCCCGACCCGATAATGCCATCGCCCGATCCTCGACTTAAGTCGGGCCTGTCCCCTACAGGGGGAATGCCCCAAAATAACAAAAAAAATAGTCTGGGGACTATTTTTTGGGGGCATGTTTGAGTATTTTGTTGGGGCATTTTTGGACTAGGGCACCAGGACGTCGGCTCCCAGGCGGTGGATATGGACAAATCTCAGGAGGGGAAACGACACACAGACATAATGAATCGTCGATCCCCAGGAAAAGATTGTGGGGGGAAGGCAGAAACCAAGGAAATGTGGGAACATATGGGGAATCTTTTTATTTGCGTGTATGTACTTGCGTGTCCCAGCTTCCCTTCCAAATCCCCGCCCCGATGCCGCCGGCGGCGGCGGTGGCGCCGAGCGGGCGCCTGGTGTGGCGGCGGCGAGCGGGCGGCGGCGGCGGCGACGGCGCGCCGAGAGCGGGCGCGCGCGGAGGCCCCGGGCGCTCCCCGGGCCCGTCGACGCACTCGCTGCCGCCGAGGGCGGGGGGAGGCGCGGCGCGCGCTCCTCTGCGCGCGCGGGGGGGGGGGGCCTGTTCCCCTGCAGGGGGATGGTCAACGAAAAATAAGACATACCCCACAGAATAATCCCAAACTGCCCTGGGGGCTATTCTGGGACTATTGTTTGACCATTTTGGGGGTATGTTTGGGGTGTTTTTCCCAACCATCCTGTGGTGTTGGGTCCTCGTTTTGAAGACACGGTGCCCCGCGTTCCTCTCCTTCCTCCTCCTCCCCCTCCTCCCTCCTCCCCCTCCTTGCCTCTGCTCTCGGCACACCTCTCACGCGTTTCGTAGCCCCATAGGGAACTCCGCCGAAGGCCCCAGCGGGGGTGTCCACATGCGGTTCCCCCACCCAGGGCAGCGTTTCGTAGCCCCAGAGGGAGCTCCACCGAAGGCCCCAGTGGGGGTGTCCACATGCGGTTCCCCCACCCAGGGCAGCGTTTCGTAGCCCCAGAGGGAGCTCCACCGAAGGCCCCAGTGGGGGTCCACATGCGGTTCCCCCACCCAGGGCAGCGTTTCGTAGCCCCAGAGGGAGCTCCACCGAAGGCCCCAGTGGGGGTGTCCACATGCGGTTCCCCACCAGGGCAGCGTTTCGTAGCCCCATAGGGAGCTCCACCGAAGGCCCCAGTGGGGGTGTCCACATGCGGTTCCCCCACCCAGGGCAGCGTTTCGTAGCCCCAGAGGGAGCTCCACCGAAGGCCCCAGTGGGGGTGTCCACATGCGGTTCCCCCACCCAGGGCAGCGTTTCGTAGCCCCATAGGGAGCTCCACCGAAGGCCCCAGTGGGGGTGTCCACATGCGGTTCCCCCACCCAGGGCAGCGTTTCGTAGCCCCATAGGGAGCTCCACCGAAGGCCCCAGTGGGGGTGTCCACATGCGGTTCCCCCACCCAGGGCAGCGTTTCGTAGCCCCAGAGGGAGCTCCACCGAAGGCCCCAGTGGGGGTGTCCACATGCGGTTCCCCCACCCAGGGCAGCGTTTCGTAGCCCCATAGGGAGCTCCACCGAAGGCCCCAGTGGGGGTGTCGCATGCGGTTCCCCCACCCAGGGCAGCGTTTCGTAGCCCCAGAGGGAGCTCCACCGAAGGCCCCAGTGGGGGTGTCCACATGCGGTTCCCCCACCCAGGGCAGCGTTTCGTAGCCCCATAGGGAGCTCCACCGAAGGCCCCAGTGGGGGTGTCCACATGCGGTTCCCCCACCCAGGGCAGCGTTTCGTAGCCCCAGAGGGAGCTCCACCGAAGGCCCCAGTGGGGGTGTCCACATGCGGTTCCCCCACCCAGGGCAGCGTTTCGTAGCCCCAGAGGGAGCTCCACCGAAGGCCCCAGTGGGGGTGTCCACATGCGGTTCCCCCACCCAGGGCAGCGTTTCGTAGCCCCATAGGGAGCTCCACCGTAGGCCCCAGTGGGGCTGCCCTCATGCGGTTCCCCCACCCAGGGCAGCGTTTCGTAGCCCCAGAGGGAGCTCCACCGTAGGCCCCAGTGGGGGTGCCCGCATGCGGTTCCCCCACCCAGGGCAGCGTTTCGTGGCCCCACAGGGAGCTCCACCGAAGGCCCCAGTGGGGCCGCCTGCATGCGGTTCCCCCACCCAGGGCAGCGTTTCGTAGCCCCAGAGGGAGCTCCACCGAAGGCCCCAAGTGGGGGTGTTCGCATGCGTCTCCCCCAGAGGTAGCGCCGCCGAAAACGATATTCACACTTGCGGTATTCACAGTTGCATATGGTTGGGTCCTTCGCCAGGCTAATTTCTAATTTTTCGTCGAAGATCCCCCTGGAGGGGGACACGCCCGACATAAGCGCGGGGGGGCGGGGGGGCGTCGTCGCCGCGGCATCGCTCGGGCGTGTGCAAGGTTCTGCGCCTCCTCGGCACGAGCGAAATGGGTACGGAAAGAGTGGGTACAATGCCCAAGCAGCTCCTGTTCATTTTGAACAGGGCTCGCTGTCGGTGTCGCCGCGGCCTGTGTCCATTCGTGACAGAAGGCCGCCTGCCCAACAGCAGCCGCTGTTGGTTTGGGACAAGATGTGCTGTTGGGCATTGTACCAATTTTTTCCGTACCCACTTCGGGCGTCCAACGACGGGGGGGAGGAGCGATGGAATCTCTCGAAGCTCCTCCCCGGGGACCTCCACGAAGAGTGCCTCGCAGCCGGGCGCTGGCCCAGTCGGCCCGCCTGTGCCGGAGGGCCCGCAGGGGTCCAGAAGGAGCGGAACGGAGCCAGAGATCTTGGTTTCGCTCGCCGACGTCGCCGCCCCGCTGTTCATTGGGGCTTGGCCCGGGGGGCGCCCGGCGGACCCCCCCGGGCCCATCGAGCGCAGGCCACGGACGCGGCAGCGCGCACGGGCCGTCCCGCGGCGTGCCGGCGGAGCTCCAGGGATACGGCGGGCTGGCCCGACCACCCCAAGGGGCGCCTGCGGCACTGAGCAGCCCTACTCTGGTCGTGGCTTCTCCGTCCGCTGATGCCGGCACGGACGACGTGGGCACAGAAAGAATAGGTGCTAAGTATGCCCAACAGCAGCTCCTGTCCATTTTGAACGGGGCTCGAGGTCCGCGCCGCCGCGGCCTGAGTCCATTTGCGCCAGGAGGCCGCCTCCCCAACAGCGGCCGCTGGTGGTTTAGGACCAGATTTGTTGTTGGGCACTGTACCCATTTTTCCGTACCCATGTCGGTCGGGGGTGGACAGAACCCCCAATAGTGACACGTCGATTAGTGAATTGTCCGTTTTCGGTTCTCGAGAGGGCGCCGTGGCCGTTATTTTCCAGGCTTGCGCCCGCCAGGTTTGGGCCTCAGGTCGTTTTCACTAAACCACGTTTTGCTAAAGGGGGGTCTGTCCATCGCCGACTTTAGGCCCACCCAAATCTTTCGAGATCCTTTTGTGGTCTGCACGAGCTGTTCTTGGAACGTTTCTGGCTGAGCCTGCCTTGTTTTATAACACGCCGGGTCTAGGATCTGTGAACACTGTTGTGGTTCTTAGAACATTCCTGGGTTCTAAGAACACGTCGTGGTAGGCCTACAGGAATGCAGGGACGGTCGGTCCCTGCTCAATGGCCGGCGCCGTCGTCGTCGCCCTGGCCGCCGCCTCCGACGTCCCCGGGATCTGGCGAGGCGCAGCAGCATCTGACCGTCTGTTTGTTCCTCGTTTTGCCGATCGGCGCGGGCCCTTGCGCCCCCCTCCCTCCCTCCCCCCTCTGGAGTAGACCATCGCCGTTTTTGGCGCCCGCTTCGAGCAGGTGGAGCCTCCCCCGCAGCACGCGCTGCTGCAAACACTGGCGTTCCAAGCCGAGGTCGACGCCGAATAAGAAGACGCCGGCCATGCAACGTCGAAGTCACGACTGGAGGCCCGGGCCCACTCTCTCTGCGCCAGCTATATGGGGTACGAGTAGATGGGGTCGGAGGATCGCGCCGCATCGTCGATGCATCGGCGATGCGGCTCAATGCGGATCCCGAATTCCTCCACGCTGGCGTCGCCGATGCATCACCGATGTCGCCGATGCATCGGCGATGTATCGCCGACGTATCGGCAATACGGCGCGATCCTCCGACCCTATTCCCTCCGGCCCCATCTAGGTGGCCTCTAGCTTTCGAGCTTGATCGGTTCGTCAGGGTCCCTGGTTTCGGAACTATATGAGAGCGCCAGACTCGCGGAATCGGCCACGCCTGGGCAGTTCGGTCTGCAGTGCCAGTGCAGGTCCGCAGTGCGGGTCACAGTCGCAGCCCCAGTCTCAGGGAGCGTTCCGGAGCGCTCGGCTCGAACACGGCCGCGGCGCCCGATTCGTCCCCCAGACCGGCCGAATCTCAAGCATCCCCGCCTCATCCCTGTCCGACCAGTGCTCCCCGTCCTGGCCTCGCCTTCGTCTGCGCCGCCGCCGCCCCGCGGCACCGCGGCGCCGCGCGGCGCCGCGCGGCGCCGCCGCGGCCGCGGCCGCAGCGGCGGCCGTTGGCAGTGAGGAGGAGGCGGAGGAGGAGGCGGAGGAGGAGGAGGAAGGAGGAGGAAGGAGGAGGAGCAGGAAGGGGAGGAGGAGGGGGGAGGAGGAGGAGGAGGAGGAGGAGGAGGAGGAGGAGGAGGAGGAGGAGGAGGAGGAGGAGGAGGAGGAGGAGGAGGGAGGAGAGAGGAGCAGGAGGAGGGAGGAGGGAGGAGGAGGAGGGAGGAGGGAGGAGGGTGGAGGAGGAGTGGAGGGAGGAGGGAGGAGGGAGGAGGGAGGAGGGAGGAGGGAGAGAGGGAGGAGGGAGGAGGGAGGAGGGAGGAGGGAGGAGGGAGGAGGGAGGAGGAGGAGGGGAGGAGGGAGGAGGGAGGAGGGAGGAGGGAGGAGGGGGGGAGGAGGGAGGAGAGAGGAGGAGGAGGAGGAGGAGGAAGAGGAGGAGGAGGAGGAGGAGGAAGAGGGGAGGAGGAGGAGGAGGAGAGGAGGAGGAGGAGGAGGGAGCAGCAGCAGCAGCAGCAGCAGCAGCAGCAGCAGCAGCAGCAGCAGCAGCAGCAGCAGCAGCAACAGCAGCAGCAGCAGCAGCAGCAGCAGCCGCCGCAGGTCCGCAGCAGCCGCAGCGGCCGCAGACCCAGGGCGCCGTCGGCCTCGCTGGCGCCCACGCCGAGGAGGGCGCGCCCCCGCGCGCCGCCCTGGCCGCGGCGCCCTCCGCGCGCCCGTCGCTGGGCCCCGCCGGCGCCGCGAGCGCCCCGATCCTGTGCCGGTCGCTGGCTCCCCGGGGGGATCAACCGGGGGCCCCCGAACGGGGCGTTGACCACACACTGTCACGTCGCGTGGCGAGGGTGGCGGCCCCGAGGTTGGAAGCGCTCCCGCCTCGGGCGCCTGGCACTTCGCGCGGCAGGTGGAAGCTACCAACGGTATGGTTGCCCTCCCCTCGTCATGGCGTTGACTGTACTGCTCGGCTGAGGCGTCGACCACCGTAGAAAGAGAACCCCAGAGGCCCCGAGTGCCCTTAATTCAAACAAAAATAACGGGGTGGTGACCACACCGTGCGGTGAGTCGGTGGGGATTCGGGGTCGCCGCACGGTTTTGGGGCTCGGGTCGTTCTCCGAGGACGTCTCGGGCGACAGGGGCCCCCGGGGTCCCGAGACCGTGCGGTGACGGACCGTGCGGTTAGGTCTTGGGGGATTTCGAGGTCACCGCACGGTCGGTCACCGCACCGCTTCGGGACGCCAAAATCAAGCAGTGGCGAAGCGTCCTGGCTCGCCGATGGCCCTACCAAACAGTGTTCGAAGAGCCTTTTGGTGTCTCCAAGAAAGGCTCTTGGAACATTTCTGGCGGAGCCTGTGTTGTTTTCTCACACCGGTTTTATGTTCCGAGAAAATTGCCTTTGTTCTTAGATCATTTGTGGGTTCTAAGAGCATCTCGTGGTAGGACTATAGGAATGCCGGGACGGTCGGTCCCTGCTCAGGGGGATCCCTCGCCGGTTCGCCAGGGGTCGAAGGCGAAGTCGGGCGTGTGCCTCTACAGGAGGAGTGTTCCAGAATAGTGAAAGAGAGTCTGGGGGCGAGGTCTCTATCATTTTTGGACTACAGTGGGGGCGCGCATTAAGAAACCATATGCTTTTCATCAGGGTATCCTGGGTTTCTTCGCTCCGCGCGCTGCGTGGAGACTTCCGCGGCCGTTGAAGGAGCTGCTGCGTTCAGGGTGCTCCAGGCTTCCCCTCCGGTGCACCTCGCGCGCGGGTTTTCAGGGTTGGGTTTCTTGTGGGGGTTTCTTGCGGCCGCGCTCGCACTGTAATTTTGGGTGGTTTGGGCAATTTTAAAATAGCGGGACATGCCCGACCTGAGTAGAAGGAGAAGCAATACCATAGATCAGGCGATCGCAAACAGGGGCGTGTCTACAGGGGGAGCGAGATCCTCCTCCTGCCCCTCCTCCTCCTTCTCCTCCTCCTCCCCTTACTCCTCCGACCCTGCTTCTCATCCTCCTACCTCTCCTCCTGCCTCTCCTGCTCCTGCCCCAGAAGTCTGGAGAGGTCTCCCAAACTCCCCGAAGTCAGAACACTTGTTAACATGAACAAAAGTCGGAGGTTGACAGACCTCCTACCCTGACAATGCGATTAGTGAACTGGCCGTTTCGGTTCGCGAGAGGGCGTCACGGCCTTCATTTTTGCGGGTCCAGGTCCGTCGGTTTCGGGCCTAGGCCGTTTTCACTAGAAGAGAGGTTTACTAGACGGGTCCCGTTTCGATGGGACATCGCGGATTTCCGCCGCCGAGCGAGGCGGCCCCGGCCGCATTTTGGGGAGGGCACCTCCCCAGATCCATGGATTGGCGACCGCGCGCCAGATCCATGGATCGCTAATCCGTGTTTGCGCGCCCCCGAGTAAACATAAACTTTTGGCGCTTCGCGCGGATTTCTTGGATCCGATCTGGGCCCCCTCCCCTGTCGGCGCCTCCGGCGCCGCCCCTGGCGCGCTCCGCGCGCCAGGAAGGGCGGTCCGGCGCGGATCCAAGAACTCCGCGCGGAGCGCCAATGTTTTATGATTATGACGTTTCTTCTTCTTATTATTCTCCTTCTAATGGGGGAAAGGGGAGGGGAAGGTACCCATACCGCTCCCCTTCGCCCGTTTTCCTTTTGGTCGGCCTCCTGGGAGATCCTCGACGCCATCGCTGGAGTATCCTCGAGATGCTGGCTGGAGCGCGCGCCGGGAGAGGTCCAGGGAGCAGCGGCGTGGGTGCATTTTGGTTTTTACCCCAGTGAGGGCAGCGGGTCCTGAGGGAGACGGGTCCCGAGCTTTTTATTGTCGTTGCAGTTTTCAACGAGACGACGTGGCTACATCATGGGAAAAAACGGATGAGTGGGGACTGTTGGGAAATCAGCTCCTGAAGTACGCACTGTCCTGAGTAGACCCCGACGCGCGCAGCTTCTCATGTGAGGCCATGGCCTCGCCCGCCTCGCCCTGAAGAGGCCCGGGCGCATGCCCGCACGGGCGTTCCGTTTCCGTTTCCGTGTCCGTCGTTGCAGTTTTGCGGGACGAGGAGGATCGCGATGGTGATCCTCCTCCTCCTCCTCCTCCTCCTCCTACTCCTACTCCTACTCCTACTCCTACTCCTACTCCTACTCCTACTCCTACTCCGACTCCTTCCCTCCCCCCTTCCTCGGGGCCTGCTGTGGAGCGGTTGGCCAGGATCTCGGGCGGGGCGGATGCGGCCGCGGCGACGAGGAGCGCCCAGGCAGCCCAGGGCGGACCTCGGCATCCTGGTCCCAGCGCCTCGGCATCGCAGCCCTGGAGGGCGAGCGCTCCTCCTGTCCTCCCCCTAAGGCACGGCGTTTCCGGCGCTACTGGGGGCTAGCCAATAATAGGAGGCCGGAGGACGGATTCAGCTTGTGCCTGCTTCCTCTTTGCACACGTGTGCCCCTTGCGAAGGGAAGCTATGATGTGTGGCAGGTTTGCCAGGGCATGCTCGCCCCTGCCATGTTCGGCGTCACGCTTACCCGTAGGGGCATGATTTACGTTCTTCCCTCACGGGCGGACGAACAAAAACCTGGGCGCTGACGGCAGCGGCACCTCAACCCAGGGCGCGGCACTCCCCATCCCCCAGCGGCCGTTGCCGCTGCCTTCTGCTCTCCATCCTCCACCTCAACTCAAAAATGTGGCTCTCGCCATAGCGCGGTGCACATTCGTTCTGGATTCTTGCAAGAGTTTCACGGATGCCCATCCATCAGCGCGCCAGCAATGGCGTCTTGGAAGGATTCGGGACTATGCGGGCACAACAGTTACGTTGATTATTTGATTCTCTGTATGGAGTCCTAGGAATGGCGTTCTGGCAAGATTCCGGATCTTCAAGACGCAACAGTCAGGTCGATCCGTGGCGTTGGAATCCCGAAGCCAATGTTTTGGCATGCTTCAGGGTCTTCAAACGGGTGTTTTCCAACGAGGCAGTTCCATCCATGGAAGCGGACCGTTGTAGGGGCGTGTGAAGAGGGAGTTTGGAGGGAGGGTTTATTTCAACATCGTTGATGACTCCTGAGTTTACACTGGACCTCCTCCTCCTCCTTTTTTCCTTCTCGTTCGCCCGTTCCCTCCCAGTAGGATGCAACTCCTGGCGGGTGAAATTCTGAGTCAGCACCTGGTCGATCCTGGTCGAAGGCTTGCCCAGCGGGGCTTCTTCCCGCTCCTTCCTGCTGAATACATGGCCAAGTTTGGCCTGTGCCGGCTTTTGGTGGCTCCTTCAGCGGGATCCATCGCGCCTCATCGTGCCGACGGAGTCCTCCCAGGAGTTGCCTCCTGACCCCTGCCAGGTTCTGCCGAACCTCGAGTCGGTGTTCAACATCAGCGCCGAGGCGCTGCTGAACCACCGCCTGGGGAACCTGCAGATCAAGGGCGCGTCGGAGAGGACGCTCCTCGAGTGCGCGGTCCAGGAACCCCGGGGGCGGAAGGGGGGGGGGGTCGGCGCGGCCCGCAGGTCCTTTGCGGCCGCCCCTCGGGTGGGCAGAGGGAGGGAGGGACGAAACCCCAAAATTCATGGGGCTAAGCAGCGTCGGTCACGGAAGCATAATGCATAGTGCACGGCATAGGCATCAACTTCTCTATGATGTGCCCATATTGATGTCTTGAATCTGCGTTGGGCCTCCCCTGGCGGCGCCTCCGGCGCCGCCGCTGGCGCGCTGCGCGCGCCAGGGGTGTGTGTCCAGCGCCGAGGCAAGAAATCCGCGCGGAGCGTCAAACATGTGTGCTTATGCGGAGGACGGGGAGGAGGAGGAGGAGGAGGAGGAGGAGGAGGACGAGAAGGAGGGGGAGAAGGAGGAGGAGGAGGTGGAGGAGGATGAGGAGGAGGAGGACGAGGAGGAGGAGGAGGAGGAGGAGGAGGAGGGGAGGCAGAGGAAAAAGCATGATAATAATAATCATACTAGTAAAAAATAATAAGAAGACGACGAAGAAAGCGAAGAAGACGACGAATACCAATAGTAGTAGTACTAATTATATTATATTCATAATAATATTAACATTAATACTAATAATAATACGAATAATAATAGTCATAAGAATACTGATAATAATGATAATAATCATAAGTTTCATACTAGTAATAAGAATATGAATAATAATATTAGTAATGACAATAATAAGTGTACTAATACTAATACTAAGGAGGATCATAATAATACTAAGAAGCGTAATGATAATACGAATACCAAAAACAATACTAAGACGAACAATAATAATAAGAAGAAGAAGAAGAATAAGAGGATAAGGAGGAGGAGGAGGAGGAGGAGGAGGAGGAGGGAAGAGGAGGAGGAGGGAGGAGGAGGGCGAGGAGAAGGGCGAGAAGGAGGAAGAAAGGAGGAGGGAGGAGGAGGAGGGGAGGAGGAGGGAGAGGGAGGATTCGGGCCGAGAGGGAGGAGGAGGGGGAGGAAGAGGATGAGGAGAAGGAGGAGGAGGAGGAGGAAAGGAGGAGGAGGAGGAGGAGGAGGAGGAGGAGGAGGAGGGAGGAGGAGGGAGGAGCTGGGAGGAAAAGGATGAGGAGGAGGAGGAGGAGGAGGAGGAGGAGGAAAAGGAGGAGGGACTGGACCCCAGGCTCCTCTGGGGCACGACCCCGGCACCCTGTGCCCGAGCCGTGCGCGGCCGCGACCGCAGCCAGGCCCAAGCCCCTGGCAAGAGGAATGAGCAGGGCCCCGTTCCTTGGGACCGCTCGGGCGCGCGCCTTTTCTCGGCGAGGGCCTTCGAGGAGCATCCTCACGAAAAGGGGAAAATCGCCATTTGGCACTCCGCGCGGAGCTCTCGGATCCTCCTTGGGGCCCCCCTGGTGGCGCCTCCGGCGTCGCCCCCGGTGCGCTAGGCGGCCCGGCGCAGATCACAGACATCCGCGCGAAGCGCCAACAGCTTATGCTGATGGCGGTTGTTTCTCCTTCTTCTTTTCACTCAGGAGGGAAAAAACACACGGACACAAGTAATCGTCGATTCCCCAGAAAACATGAGAAAATATGGGAAGTGGGGGGAAGACACAAACTTATAACATATAGGGGAAATATGGGAAATCCTGCAATCTGTGTGTATTTTTTGTGTGTCCCAGGGCCCTTTCACTAACGTGTGCAGTGTTCCTCGGCGAGGGGCTTCGAGGAGCATCCTCGACCATCGGGCCCGCAAGAACGCGCACGAAGCTCATCAAGCAAAGGCACAGGGCATGGACGTCCGAGCGGCGGCAAGTCGGCGACACCTCAACATACGACTGCTATGTGTGCGTCGCCCCCCTGGGGGCGACGCGCGCACCGAGTAGTCTGACAGTATATGCGTCTCGGCGGGCGCTCTCTGGCCACACCGGTTGGGAAACGATGCGCTACAAGATGGGTATGCTATATGTTCTGGTCAGACGCGCGCCTCCAAGGAGAGCATCTGAAATCGTTGTTTTTTTTCACTCTGGCGGGTAACGCTTGTTACACGGCCCCCCCCCTCGGGGTAACGCTGACGATCATACGTTTTTGAGGGGGAGGGCGGACCCCCCTCCTCTCAGCACCCCTCGGGGCCTGCTTTGGAGCGGTTGCTTAGAATCCCGGGGCGGATGCAGCCGCGGCGACGAGGATCGCCCAAGAAAGCCAGGAGGGGTCTCGGCGTTTCAGTCCTGAAGCAGGGCTGGACCCAAACGCTGTGCTGCTGGACTTCGGCTGCGTCTTGGTTTTCGTCTTGGCAGGGAGGCACGGGAAGACAGGTAAGTGGAGCGAAACTAACAACAAAACGACAACGACACGAACAGCAGCGTCGAGGTCCAGCCCTTCCCTTGGGGGCGAGCGCTCCTCCTCGCCCCCGGGGCACTGGGCGCCGACGGCATCGGTGCCCCCCCATCGAGCCCGGCATCGCTCGGACGTCTGCATGTCTCCTTCGGCGAGGACCATCGAGGAGCACCCCTGAGCATTTGGCGAAAAGTCCACACACGAAACCGAACAACGCACAGGGAATGGACGTCCGAGCGATGCCCAGCCCCCCTGGGCACTGGGCGCCGACGGCGTCGGTGCCCCCCCTATCGAGGGCGAGGAGGAGGGGAAGAGGGGGGGGAGGAGGAGGAGGAGGAGGAGCAGGAGGAGGAGGAGCAGAGCAGGAGGAGGAGGAGGAGGAGGAGGAGGAGGAGGAGGAGGAGGAGGAGGAGGAGGAGCCCCCCCCCTATCGAGGGCGCGGCCCTCCCCCGTCCCCATCGAGTCTGCCGTGGCCCTCTGGTGCCTCCTGCTCCTCGGTCTCGTCCTTGCCCTCCTCGCCTGCCTTCCTCTCCTCGTCCTCCCTGCCTGCGTGCCTCCTCGTCCAGGAGGGGAGAATAACACACAGACACAATTAATCGTCGAATTCCCCAGAAAATATTGGAAAATACGGGAAGTGGGGGGGAAGACAAACACCCAGAACATGGGGGGAAAGATGGGGAATCCTGCTATCTGTGTGTGTGTGTGTGTGTGTGGGTGTGTGTGGGTGTGTGTGTGTGTGTGTGTGTGTTTGTGTGTGTGTGTGTATTTCTTTGTGTGTCCCAGGGCCCCTTTAGACTCGTCCTCCTTGCCTGCCCTCCTCGTCTCCTGGGGCGCGACACTCGGAGTCGGCGCTGGTGCATCCTTGGCTGGAACATTGGGTTCATCCTGCCAATTCCTGCTCGCTGCGGCGTCATCCTGCTAGATATAGCTTCATTCCGCTAAATCTGGCTCAGCCCTTGGCTCAGTGATCCGGCTAAGTGGCCCAAAATCCTTCTGAGGAAGGCATCGCATGCTTTGCCTCCAGACTTCCTCCCTTTCTCCCTGTCCACGGACCTCTTCCCGCCCTCCCCCTTCTCCTCTCTTGAACTTGTCCTCGTCCTGGCTTCGTCTTACTGCCCTCCCCCCCCCTCCTCCTTGCCCCCTCCCCCTCCGCCTCGTCGTTTTGTTTGCTTCCTCCTCGCCCTCGCCCTCCCCAGCCTCCCGCTTCCTGGTCCTCCCCCCCCTCTTCCCCCGACCCCTCCTCGCCCTCTTCTTCCTCCTCGGCCTCCTCCTCCTCCTCCTCTCCTCCTCCTCCTCCTCCTCCTCCTCCTCCTCCTCCTCCTCCTCCTCCTCCTCCTCCTCCTCCTCCTCCTCTCCGTAGCCATTTTGGCTCAAGGCCAGGTGTTCCGCCCGTTTTCGGCGCGTGGGACCCATGTTGGCGCGGGACGCTGCCGCCGCCTCGTCCGCGGCGTGCGCAGCGACTGGAGACGGAGGGGGGCGACGGCGCCTTCGCGGCGCTGCTGGTGCTCGGGCGTCTGCCGACGCGCTGGTTCAGCGGCTCACGCGGGAGCTTGCCTCGGCCCGCGCGGAGCACGCGGCGCTCCAGCAAACGCTCGGAGACGAGGAGGTGGTCCAGCGGCTGGTCGCCGTGGCCCCTGCTCTCGCCTCGCTGCTACGGGGGCAGCTCCCCGTGCCCGCGGACAAGCTGCGCAGGGACGTGGCCCTCCACGCCGTGGCCTCTGGGGTGGACGTGGCGCGCGCCAGTCCTCGCCAGCTGCGCGCGGCGCGGCGCGGTCCGCGCCTCGGCCCTCGGCTGGCCGCCCAGGAGTGTCGTCGTGGGCATACTCTGGTCGCACAGCCAGTTCAGAAGGATATCGAGGTCTGCTACGCCGTGCCTTCGCGCTTGCTGCCCGTGCTCGAGCCTCTGGTCGTTGGCCCGACGGCGTGGAACGCGGATGCCTCCTGTTTCTTGCCAGGTGCGGGTCAACACTTCCTCGCCCGCTGGTCGCGCGACGTCGCCACTTTGCTGACCGAGCTGCAGTTGCCGCCCGTTCTGTCAGAGTCGGAGGTTGTCGACGGGAATTCCATCGGGGACAGCTGCCCTGGCACTGTTGTGTCTGTTGCGGCCGTTGAGGAGTCGAGCGCTGCGGAAGCCGCACTCGTCGCACCGATAAGGGCCCTTTGCGGCGCCCAGCTGCGACTCCATCGCCGTTGTCGTCGATGCGCGCTCGGTGGAGGATGGCACGCAGCAGGAGTTTGTTGAGGGCGTCTCTCCAGGCCCGGCTGCTCATGATCTTCCTCTTGGCCGCTCTGTCGGGTCAGGTGAAGTATTTGTTCATTCTCAAGGTGTCTCTCCTCTGGGTCAGCCTGCCGCTCAGGTCGCTTGTGGGGGTGTGGACGTGGAGCTCGGCTGCGCGCAGGTTTCGGCTGTATCCTTATCCTCCCCCTTCGACGGTAGAGACAAGGCGATCCGTGAGGCGGGCCTCGTGCGGCGGCAGCCTGATGTACCGCCGTGGTTGCTCGAGGTCAGTGGGTCAGATCCTGGTTGCGCCCGTTGCGATCGCACCCTCGTTCGTCGGCGTCGCGGGCCAGGGAGGTGCTCATGCAGGGCGTGTGGAATTCCCATTCCTTGTGGAGCGGTTGTGACAGCCTGTCCGCGCTGTCGTCCTACGTGGCACAGTTCGTGTCTGAGCCGACGAGGATTGGGACGACTCTGGCAGCTCTTCATGATGCCGTGCGTGCTCATGTTCGTTGAGGTCTTCTTCGGGTTCATGCTTGTGGTGGGCTGCGCGGCAGGTGCACTCACGCTACAGTGGCCTCGCCCCACCACCTGTGAGTATGTGGGGGGTAGCTTTGCGCCGATGTTAAAAAATCCTCCTCCTCCTCATCCCCCCCTTACTTCCTCCTCCTCCTCATCCTCCTCCTCCCCCTCCTCCTCCTCTTCCTCCTCATCATCATCATCGTCATCATCATCATCATCAGCATCATCATCATTCTCATCATCATCATCATCAGCATCATCATCATCATCATCATGATCATCATCACCATCAGCAGCATCATCATCAGCAGCATCATCATGACCCTCCCCCCTCGTCATCCTCCTCCTGATCCTCGCTCATGCTCGTCCTGCCTTTTCCTCGCCCTCCGTGCGACCGCTCGGCGCAGCCGAGGAGCGGCAGCTGAGCATCCGCTCCGTTGGGAACGACGCCCGGCCCCGCGCGACCGTGCGGAAGGACGGGGGCGCCCTGAACATCTACGGCCGGGAGGAGACCTGCCGCCGAAGAGCGAAGCTCGAAGAAAAACAACAACGAACGCCATAAAAACATAAATTTTTGGCGCTCCGCGCGGAGTTTTTGGATCCGCGCGGGCCCCCCCCCCCCGGCGGCGCCTCCGGCGCCGCCCCTGGCGCGCTCCGCACGCCAGGGAGGGGGTCCAGCACAGATCCAAGGAATCCGCGCGAAACGCAAAAGGTTATGTGTGTTGGCATGGTCGGAAGGGGCGTGGGATCCGCGCGAGGCGAATCGGCACGACCGGAAGAGGCCCGGAGGGAGCGGCCTCCTGGCTCACTGTGGCCAGAGGAAGGCCCAACGCAGGGGAAGCAGACCTCAGGGCCGGGAGGGGACCTGCCGCCGACGGGCGCGTCGGTACGATCGGAACAGGCACGGAGCGAGCGGCGTCCCGGCCACTGGGGCCAGAGACAGACCCAGGGTTCCAAACGCAGGGCGAAGAAGCATCAGGGCGGCGGTGGTCCGTCGCTTTCGGCCTCTGGGAGTCCTCGCCGGGCCCCCGGATCGTCAGAAAACAGCCCAGGATGAAAAACCGGCCCTGGGGGAAAGGGTCGAGACTTCCGGGGGCGCCGCATTGATCGGCACGAACGACAGGGGTACGGAAAGAATTGGTACGAAGACCGACAGCAGTTCTTACCGCCCACCCAGCCACTCCAACCAAACCCGAGGGCCCCGATTCACACGTGTTTTGTTAGGGCAAGTCCGAACCCGAAGTCTGGGCCTTCGGGTTGGATTGGGGTGAGCTTGTAGGTCGTCAAGTTCCTGTTCGTTTTGATGGACAGGACTCGCTGTCGCTGTCGCCGCGGGCGGCGTCCACCTGAGACAGGAGGCCGTCTGCCCAACGGCGGCCGCTGTCGCTTCTGGAGAACATCGGCTGCTGGGCATTGTGCATACAGTCCCCGTGCCCAAACACATTCAGGAGGGGAAACAACACACAGACACAAGTAATGGTCGATTCCCTCGAATACGGGAAAGTATGGGAAGTGTGAGGGAAGACGAAAATCCTACAGATCTGGAGAAATTCGGAGAATGTTCCTACGTGTGTGTATTTATTTGTGTGTGTGTGTCCTCGGGCCCCTTCACGCATACAGTCGGGGCCCTGAAGAAGGAACCCTTTTCGTTGGGGAGGGGCTCCGCGTTCCTTAATTGTTTCGCAGCTTGCCTCAGGTTTTCCTTAGGTTTTCGATCGGGAATCGAAGTTTAACTTATGGAAAATAGGGGCCTCGTTCCTTATTTAGGGCTCCTTAGGTCAAGGCCCTGACTGTATATGCATCAGCAGACATTGTCGCAGCTCCGCGCGGATGTCTTGGATCGGCGCTGGCTCGCCTCACTGGCGCGCCTGAGCGCGCCTGGGGCGGTGCCCGAGGCGCCGCCGCCAGAGGGGCCCAGGTCGACCACCCTGTCTGCTCGGGGGCGGAACAGATGCCCGTGCCCCGCATGTAGCGATGTACAGTGAGCGGCTTGAATCAGGAACGCTTATTTTTCAAAAGGGGCTCGGTCGTTCCTTAGGCTTGCACGCGTTATTGATCGTTCCCTATGCGTTATGTACTATTTGTGCATAGCTCCCTATGCGTTACCCCTTGGAAGAAAGGGGCTTCGTTCCTTATTTATCGTTCCTTAGGTCAGGCCGATGACTGTGCTACCGAGATCGGGCTCGGTAGTGCTGATACTGTCAGCAGGGGGTGGCTTCAGCCGAACAGGGGGCACTTTGGATCGGCTCAGTTGCAGGTGAAGGGGCGGCATGAAGATGGTCATGATGACGGGGATGCCGGAGAGTGGGAGTGTTGGCTGAGAGGAGACCTTCCAGCTGATACCCCTTTCTTCGCGTAAAAACATTGCAATGATGAGAACAAGACAAAGAAGAAAGTTCGGAGCTCCGTGTGGAGCTCCAAGAAATCATGGTGGTGCCGTTGCTTGTGCCTCTAGTAGTCTCCCAGCCTCAGACCCCCTTGCGTCGTGACAACAACCACGGCTGAGGGTTTTTGTATTTTTTGATTCGACCAGAGGGCAGAGGCCGTCTCCAGGAAGGGATCCAGACCTCGGGGGGGCCACGGTGTGACAAGAATCACCACGTCGGAGATTTGGGGCCTGGGGGTGTCTGAGGGGGGCAAGGTCACCGGGAGGGCGGATAGCATGGCCGGGTGCCATGACATCATGCAATTTTATGATGGCCATTCTTTTTGTTTCAAGGCACTCCCCGCCCCAGGCTGCAGTTTCGCGCATGAGCTTGCCTGTGGCAGGTCGGCTCGTATAGCGATCCGAGTTTGGCTGGCGATTGTCTGCATCATGTTACTGTGCCACTCACGCCGTAGTGAGATTCAGTGGTCGTGCGCTTCCCATCTCTCTTCTCGGAGAACAGATCCTGGCGAGGGACCCAACTATATGCAGTTTTGAGTACCGCCGGTGTGAGAACCGCCAACGGAAGGGCTCCCCACGGATCTGCGAAATGCGTGAAGAGAGCGCCGAAATTGGGCGGGGCCGCCATGCGGACGCTGCCGCTAGGGTAGCCCGCATGGGTCAGGGAGGTCTGCCAGAACGGGGTGTGCCAGCATGAAGAGTTGGCGGCATGCGGGCGGGCGCAGCCACAGGGGCTTGAGGAGGAGCTCCCTATGGTGCCACGAAGCGTGTGAGGTGGATGCCGAAGTGAACGGGGGCGGCATGCAGGCGAAATTCGTGGAACCTAGTTGGAGCTCCCTAAGGGACCACGAAACGTGCGAGGGGTGTGCAAAAGTGAAAGGGTGGCGGCATGCGGTCGCATCTATTGGGGCCGTAGGTGGAGCTACCTATTGTGCCACGACGCGTGCGAGGGGTGTGCCAAATTGCGGGGGTGGCGGCATAAAGGCGCAACCATTGGAGCCTTGGGTGAAGCTCCCTGGGGGGTCACGAAGCGTGTGAGGGGTGTACCAAAATCAAGGGGTGGCGGCATGCGGGCGCAACCACTGGGGCTTGAGGTGGAGCTCCCAATGTGGCCACGAAGCGTCTATGGTTTACAAAAGTCGGGGGGTGGCGGTATGCGAGCGCAACCACTTGGGCTTCAGGTGGAGCTCCAGTTGGGAGCACGAGTCGTGTGAGGGGTGTGCTACAGTGAGGGGTTGGCGGCATGCAGGCGCAGCCACTGGGGCCTCAGGTGGAGCTCTCGTGAGACCACGAAACGTGTGATGGGTGTTCCAAAATGAGGCTGGCGGCATGCCAGCGCAGCCATTGGGGCCTGGTTGGAGCTCGCTATGGGGCCACGAAACGTGCGAGGGGTGTTCCAAAATGATGGGTTGGCGGCGTGCGGGCGCAACCATTGGGGTCTTAGGTGGAGCTCCCTATGGGGCCACGAAATGTGTGAGTGGTGTGCCGAAGTGAAGGGGGGTGACGGGAGGAGGAGGAGGAGGAGGAGGAGGAGGAGGCGGAGGAGGAGGAGGAGGCGGAGGAGGAGGAGGAGGAGGAGGGGGGAGGAGGATGAGGAGGAGGAGGGGGGGGAGGAGGAGGAGGAGGAGGAGGAATACAAAGAAGAAGAATAAGCAGAAGAAGAAGAATAATAATAATACGAATACTAAGAATAATATTATGAATAATAATAAGAAGAACAAGAATACGAAGAAGAGGAGGAGGAGGACGAGGAGGAGAAGGTGGACGAGGACGAGGATGAGGACGAGGAAGAGGAGGAGGAGGAGGAGGAGGAGGAGGAGGAGAAGGGAGAGAGGATGAAGAGAGGAATGTGCGCGGGGACTGTCCCGTCAAAACGAGGACCCAGCACCACAGGACGGGTGGGAAGATTACAGGCACTTCCTTCCCCCCCTCTCTCTCCCCGCCCGCGCACATGTCTCGGACCATGGCGCGCTCGCCTCTTTCTTCCTGGGCCCCCCCTCCTCTTCGGCGCACCCGACCCAGGCCGCTCACAGTTGTTTTCTGTATAGAGGGCCGGCTTCCCTAGGTTCTCGGCTCCTTGTGTGCGTGTGCGGGCCTCCGAGATGTTCCTCGTCGCCACTGCTGGTTTCCCACCGAACGTCTGGCCAGCATGCGTGCTTGGGGGGGGGTCTTGGTGGTCGACTTTCGAGGCGAAACTCACAGTGGAAGAGACCTCCCCCTACCTCCCCCTCCTCTCGAAGAAGCCAAGACGCCATAAACACGCTGGGCGCCCCCGGCGGCGCCCCCAGCGCCGCCCCTGCTCCGCGCGCCAAGGAGGGGGGACCGTCGCAGATCCAAGAGATCCGCGCGGAGCGCCAGCAGTGTATGTTTATGGTGTCTCTTCTTCTTCTGCCTCCATCCTAGCGTACGGCGTAGCCCTATAGCCTTCCCAATAGCCCAATAGCCCAATAGCCTTATAGCCCTACAGCCTCATAACCTTATAGCTCTATAGCCCTACAGCCCCATGGCCCCAACAAACATCTGATTGGAATTGTTTTTCTCCGGTGCCATTATTATGTTTCCTCTTATTCTTATTCGTTATTCTTCTGGTGTCTGTTCTTATTATTATTATTCGTTTTTTTCTTATTATTATTATTCGTTCTTCTTCTGGTGTCTGTTATTATTATTAGTATCATTCTTATTCGTCTTCGTCTTCGTCTTCGTCTTCTTCTTATTAAGTTGTTTCTTCTTCTTCTTCTTCTTCTGCCTCCCTCCTGGCGTACGGCGACGCCGACGACGGCGACGGCGGTGGCGGCGGCGACGCCGACGGGGCTGCGACGGCGACCCGCGCGGGGAGAGGACAGCTTCTTCGGCAGCCTGGAGGCGGCGAGCGGGCCCAACGACTGCGGCCTGGTCCAGGACGTGCCTGCGGCGCCCCACGCAGCCCCCAGGAGGAGGAGGAGGAGGAAGAGGAGGAGGAAGAGGGGGGCGGATGATGATGATGATGAGGAGGAGGAGGAGGAGGAGAAAGAGGAGGAGAATAGGGGAGGAGGAGGAGGAGGAGGAGGGGAGGAGGAGGGAGGAGAGGGAAAGAGTGAGGAAGGAGGAAGGAGGAGGGGGGGGAGGAGGAGGAGGGGACATGGGCGGGGAATGGGAGGAGGAGAGGAGAAGAGGCGGAGGAGGATGATGAGAGGGCGGTGGCGGAGGAGGAGGAAGGGGGGGCGGAGGAGATGGGAGAAAGAGGAGGGGAGGAGAGGAGGAGGAGGGAGGAAGGAGGAGGAGGAAGGTGGCGGAGGAGGAGGGGAGGAGGGAGAGGAGGAGAGAGGAGGATGAGGAGAGGAGGAGGAGAGGTGGATGAGGAGGGGAGAGGAGGGAGGAGAGGAGGAGAGGAGGAGGAGGAGGGGGAGAGGAGGAGGAGAGAAAGAGAAGGAGGAGGAGGGAGGAGGAGGAGGAGAGAGGAGGGGGCGGAGAGGAGGAGAGGAGAGAGGAGGAGGAGGAGGAGGAGATGGTGATGATGCTGCGCTGCTGATGATGATGAGATGAATGCTGATGCTGATGCTGCTTGATGCTGATGCTGATGCTGATGTGATGGCTGAATGCTGATGCTGGATGAGATGAGGATGATGATGCTGGTGATGATTGGATGCTGATGATAGAATGATTGATGCACTGATGCTGTGATGCTGATGATGATGATGATGAATGATGATGATGATGATGAGATGATTGATATGATGATGACTGATGATGATGATGATGTTGATGATGATGAGGATGATTGGTATGATGATGATGATGGTGATGGTGATGATGATGCTGATGCTGCTGCTGATGATTGATGATGATGATATGGATGATGAATGATGATGATGGTGATGATGGTGATGGTGATGATGATGCTGATGCTGATGCTGATGCTGATGCTGATCAGATGGCTGAGGAGGAAGGAGGAGGAGGAGAAGGAGGAGAGGAGGAGGTGAGCAGAGAGAGGAGAGGGGAGGAGGACGGCGGCGGAGGAGGAGGAGGAGGAGGAGGAGTGGGCGGAGTATGACGAGATTCCCCGTAGGGGCTTGTTTCTGGGGCTGGTCCACTACATCCAGGGTAAAAAACGGTCCCGGGGAAGCTCGAGACATACACACCGGGGCCTTCGCCTGGACGAGATGACGTCATCGGACGCCTGGGTCTGGGATTCGTGGGCAGAGCTTTGCGGAGGATCGAGGCTTTTGTCGGCGGCGAGCAGGGGGGGGCGAGCAGGGGGGGGCGAAATGAGCAGGAGAAGGCCTTCTCAGAATGCGGCAGGGCTTCGCAGAAGCCCTCGCGCACTCTTTTTGCTCCGTCATCGGGGAAGGCTCGGGGCACTTCTCAGAAGGCCGGGGGGCTCCCGAGCCTCAGACCTCCTCCTCGCTTGCTCTCCTCGCTCGCCGCCGAGTGGGGCTCTGGGAGGAGGAGGAGGAGGAGAAGGAGGAGGAGGAGTAGGAGGAGGAGGGGGGAGGAGGAGGGAGGCTGTGGAGGAGGAGGAGGAGGAGGGGAGGAGGAGGAGGGAGGAGGAGGGAGGAGGAGGAGGAGGAGGAGGAGGAGGAGGAGGGGGAGGCCGAGGCTTCTGGGGAGCTGCCGAGCCCAGCCCCGGAAGCGCGGCCCCGCCGTGCCGCCCGCGGGTCTGCCGGCGCGGCGGGGCCCCCGCGGGCTCTGCGCGGGCGGCCCCCCGCGTGGCGCAGGCTATGCGGCGCTGTGCTCTGCGATCTCCCGGTGGCCACGCAGAGCAGTGCACTTACGTCGGGTCTGTCTCTCTGCAGGAGGAACGTTCAAAGATGGCAGCAAACATAGTCAGGGGGCGATGATTGTTTGACCATGTTTGAACATTCTAGGGTGCGTTTTGACATGTTTTAATGTTTGATCCAGAATCCCCCTGTAGGGGGACAGGCCCGACTTAAGACTGCACGCAAGAGCGACCTTTCGCTGGAGTAGCCTTTGGTGCGGGCCCAGTGGGGCCCCGGGTCGCCGAACGCGAAGCGGCGGCAGCGGTTTGCGCGCCTGTGCTCGGCCACCCCGCGTTGCCAGTGAAGCCGCGCACCAAGGGTCACTCTTACCCTTTGATGCTCCAATCTACTTTAGCCTTGACCACCAGGAATCATCTCGAGCACCAAAACAGTATCGAAACTAAAGGGCTTTCACGTGTCGGGCCCTGGGAGGCACTCGTCCGACACTGCTTCGACACTGTGTCGACATTCTCTCGACACTCTTCTGGGCGCGGATGCGACGCGGATTCGACGCGGACAGGGCCGCGACGGGACAGACAGGGTTTTGCTCAGGTGGGCGTTTCGGGGGACCTCCTTGGGGTCCACCTTCCGGATCTGCTCGACTCCAGTTCGACCCCAGCTCGACCCCAGTTCGACCCCAGTTCGACTCAAGTTCGACTCATGTTCGACTCAGA